ATCAATTTTAAAATTTAAAAAAAAATCGCGATTCAAAAACCCCGAAAAATCGAAAAAAAAATTCTTTGCGTAGATTAATGATGGTTGAAAAAGTGAGAAATCGAAAACTTGAAAAATCTAGAAATCTAACAACCAAGATGTCAAAGATCGAAACATCAAAAAACTGAAAAATCGAAAAATGAAAATATCGAAAAATTGAAAAATTGAGAATACGAAAATCCAAAATTTAAAAATCACAAAAATTGGTAAAGTCGAAAAATTTCAAGAATTGAAAAACTGAAAAATCGAGAAATTGAAAAACTCCGAAAAACTGAAATGACCAAAAATTGGAAAATCGAAAAATTCAAAAATTAAAATATCGAAAAATTCAAAAATTAAGAAATCGGAACATCAAAAAATCGAAAAGTCGTAAAATCCGAAAACTGAAAAATTGAAAAATTCCAAAGCTGGAAAGTAGAACATCGAAAAATTTCGAAATTGAAATAGACTAAAATCAAAAAGCTAAAATTGAAAAATCGAAAAGTCGAAAAATCGAAAACCCTAAATTTAAAAATCACAAAAATTGATAAATCGGAAAACTGAAAAATCGAACAATTCAAAAACTAAAACGTCGAGAAAACGAAAAATTCACAAATTGGCCAAAATCGTTAAGTTAAAATTTGAAAAATTTGAATTTAAAAAAAAAAATAAAAATTGGAAAAACGAAAATCCAAAACCGAGAAGTCGAAAAATCGTAAGATGGAGAAATTAAAAAATTAAAATATCGAAAAATTGAAAAATCGAGAAGTGGGAACATCAAAAAATCGAAAAAATGAAAAAATCCAAAACTGAATAAGTAAAAAATCCAGAAATTGAAAAGTCGGAAAATCCAAAAGTTGAATCATGTATTGATAAATCCCAAAACTGAAATATAAAAAAATTGAAAAATCGAAGAAAAACTAAAAATCCTAAAACTGAAACATCGAAAATTTGGAATTGTCAAAAATTGAAAAATTAAGAAATCAAAAATGGAAGAGTCGAAAAATTGAAAAAACGAAAACTTACAAAATTGAAAAACTCCAAAGCTGGAAAGTAGAAAATCGAAAAATTTCGAAATAGGCTAAAATCAAAACGCTAAAATTGAAAAATCGGAAATCCAGAATTTTAAAATCACAAAAATTGATAAATCGGCAAATTTCAAAAATCGAAAAACTGAAAAATCGAGAAATTGTAAAATTCCAAAACCCTGAAATGACCAAAAATTGGAAAATCGAAAAATTCAAAAACTAAAACATCGAGAAAACGAAAAATTGACAAATTAGCCAAAATCGACAAGTTAAAATTTGAAAAAACGAAAAATCCAAAACCGAGAAGTTGAAAAATCGTAAGATCGAGAAATTAAAAAATCAAAAATTTTTAAAATTAAAATATCGAAAAATTGAAAAATCGAGAAATGGGAACATCAAAAAACTGAAAAATTCAAAAATCAAAAACAAAAACCGAAAAAATAAAAAATCGAGAAATTGGAAAGTCGGAAAATCCGAAAGTTGAATTAAGTATTGAAAAATCCTAAATCTGAAACATCGAAAAATTGAGAAATCAAAAATCAATCGAGAAATTGAAAATTTGTAATCGTCAAAAATTGAAAAATTACGAAATCGAAAAATGCAAGAGTCGAAAAATTGAAAATCCAAAATTTAAAAATCACAAAAAAATCGGAAAATTTCAAGAATCAAAAAACTGAAAAATTGGGAAATTGTAAAATTCCAAAATCCTGAAATGACCAAAAATTGGAAAATCGAAAAATTTAAAAACTGAAGCATCAAGAAATCGAAAAATTGACAAATTGGCCAAAATCGACAAGTTAAAATTTGAATTAAAAAATAATGAAAAATTGAAAAAACGAAAAATCCAAAACCGAGAAGTCGAAAATTCGTAAGATCAAGAAATTAAAAAATTAAAACATCGAAAAATTGAAAAATCCAATACTGAAAATCAAGAAATTGAAAAGTCGGAAAATCCAAAAGTTGAATCAAGTATTGAAAAATCCCAAAATTGGAATATAGAAAAATTAAGAAATCAAACATCAGTGGAGAAGCTAAAATATCGAAAAATTGAAAATTTGTAATCGTCAAAAATTGAAAAATTAAGAAATCGAAAAATGGAAGAGTCAAAAAAATTGAAAAAACGAAAATTCGCAAAATTGAAAAATTCCAAAACTGGAAAGTTGAAACATCGAAAAATTTGGAAATCGAGATAGGTTAAAATCAAAAAGCTAAAAATTGAAAAATTTAAAATTAGAATATTCGGTAAATCGAAAAATCAAAAATTGAAAAAAATAAAATTCACAAATCTAAAACTGATAAATCGAAAATCCAAACTTTTAAAATCACAAAAATTGATAATTCGGCAAATTTGAAGACTCGAAAAACTGAAAAATCGAGTAATTGTAAAATTCCAAAATCCTGAAATGACCAAAAATTAGAAAATCGAAAAATTCAAAAACTGAAACATCCAGAAATCGAAAAATTGATAAATTGGCCAAAATCGGTAAGTCAAAAATTGAAAAATTTGAATTTAAAAAAAAATGAAAAATCCAAAAATTGAAAAACCGAAAAATCGGATCAATATTGAAAAATCCAAAAACTGAAATATAGAAAAATGGAAGAAAAATTGATAATCCTAAAACTGAAACATCGAAAAATTCAAAAATCGGGAAATCAAAAAATTGAAAAGTCGAAAAATCGAAAAATGAGAAAGTCAAAAAATCAATCGAGAAACTGAGGTGTTGAAAAAATTTAAAATTTAGAAACTTCAAAAATTGAGTCAAAAAACTGAAAAATCGAAAATTTGAAAAATCGAAAAATTCCAAAACTGAAATGATAAAAAACTGGAAAATCGTAACATCGGAAAATTTGGAAATGGAAATAGGCTGGCTGAAATCATAAAGTTAGAAATTGAAAAATTTTAAATTATAAAAATCAAAAAGAAAAATTGCAAAATCAATTACAAAAAATCGAAAACCGAGAAGTCGAAAAATCGAGAAATTGAAACATCAAAAAACTGAAAAAAATTAAATTCAAAAATTCCAAAAATGTGAGAAAACGAACTGAAAATCGAGAAACTTAAAAATTTTAAAATTGAAAAATCTAAAATTTACAATTCGAAAAAATAAAAAATGCAGAAATCAAAATATTGAAAAATCCAAAAATTGAAGAATCAAATACTAAAAAATCCCAAAACTGAATTATCAAAAAACGGAAAAATTGAGAATGCGAAAAATTGAAAAATCGGGAAATCGAAAAATGGAAAAAATAAAAAAATCAGTCCAGAAATTGAGATATCGAAAAACTGAAAATTTAGAATCGTCAAAAATTGAAAAATAAAAAAATCGAAAAATGTAAAAGTCGAAAAATCGAAAATTTGAAAAATACCAAAACTGAAAAGACGAAAAACTCAAAAATCGTAACATGGAAAAATTTGGAAATCGAAATAGGCTAAATCAAAAAAAGTTAAAAATTAATAAAAATAGAAAAATTGAAAACCAAAAAATGTAAAACCGAGTCGAAAAATTGAGAAAACGAAATGAAAAATGCAGAAATCGAAAAATATAAAAATTTAAAAATTTACACATCGAAAAAATAAAGCACAGGAATCAAAAAGTCAAAAAATCCAAAATTTGAAGAATCAAATACTGAAAAATCCTAAACTTGAAATAGCGAAAAAATTAAACAATGGAAAAAAAATCGAAATGATGATAGGATATGATTAATCGAGAAATTGAGAAACCTAAAAATTGAAAATTTAGAAAAGTTGAAAAACCGTAAAACTGAAACATCGGAAAATTGGAAAATCCCAACACTGAAATATTGAAAAATTGAGTAGTCGAACGGAAAAAATGAAAATCGAGAAATTGAAAAATTGAAAAAATGGATAAATCGAAAAAGTCGAAAAACCCAAAAATTGAAGACGCAAATATGTACAGAAAAATCCTAAAACTGAAATATCTAAAAATTGAAAAATGGAAGAAAAACTGAAGATTCAACAAATTGAAAAGTTGAGAAATCAAGAAATGGAAAAATTGTGGCTACAATTTTCATTTTTTTTTTCCAAAAATCTAGGTGTCTAGGATAAAAATTCAACACGGATTCATAAACCACATGTTCAGGACTATGTTACTTTTTAACATTTAAATAACGTTTATTCGAGAAAACTGTCAGATGACGTCATCAATTCGATGGAGGCATGAACGGATCAATTTTAATTAACGATTTACCATACTTCCGACAACCTTAAAATGTTTGCAAGATTTCAAAGCATTCGTTTTTTCAATTTTAAAGTCAAATTGTAAATGTTTTTTTGGATAAAATCATAAACCACAACTGTAAAATTTATCTTCATTCCTAACATACACTGGCGGCCAACATAAAGTAGGACGTTTCAGATTTATATTGACGTTTAAATGTCATTTTCAATTGAGTCCGGTTTACACAACTAAATTTCTTGAAAAATCGGTTCAAGAGGTATCCTGCTTTATTTTGGTCGCCAGTGTACATACAAAATTTGACAACAATCGGTCCGGTAGTTTCGCACTCGATTACAATACTTCCATAGTTCACACTCGGGAAATATAAATTAGAAATATTGTAGATCGTTTTAAGCAACTTTTTAATTATAAAAGAACAAGTTAAAAAAAGTAGTTAAAATGTATCAATCACTTGGCCAAAATCAACTTTAGCTACTGAAAGCAGAGCCTAGTTTGTACCTACAATCAGTTTATGACTTAATCATAACCTCAATCAAGTTAAACAAGCATATACAAAACGTCCAAAATTTCCACTTTATCAACTTAAAGCAAACCCCCAACTACCAACTTTCTCAAATAAAAACCCAGAATCACTACCCTACCCCCCTTCAGCCCCATCAAACCCTACCCAAGCTTTCCTTTTCCAGGTGGAAATGACCGGAGCTTGTGCTTGTATCGTGTACCGCTAGTTTTGTAGCTTGCTTGCTCTTCGCAGATCCAACCCGAGCACCCCGACCCAGCCTCGTCGTCCCGACTTCATCGGGGTGTCGGCCAACCACCAGACCGGCCAATACTACGACTTCCAAGCGCACCAGAACGCGGGCCCGCGCCCCAACCCATCCCAGGGCTACGGCAGCCCCCAGCGCCGCTTCATGTCCGAAGGCGAGCTGGTCCGGCAAGAGGGGGCGCAGCTGTCGTACCCGCGCTCCAACAACACGGTCGACAACATCCGCGAGCTGGCCAACTCGCCGCAGCGGGGGGTCTACATGTGGAAGGACACGTCGCCGGGGTACCCGCCGCCGGCGCAGCACCCGGACTTCTACAGGTCCAACCCCACCAGCCCCACCCAGCAGGCGTACACGGCCCCCAGGCCCTACCACCCGGCGGTGAGGGGCGGGGTTGCCGTCTATCCGCCGCAAAGTCCGCAGGTAAGGGGTGAAGAGGCGTGGGGATTCCGAGGCGGGGTGGCGGCTTCCGGAGGGTCAGGCGGTGGGGTGTGGTTGTAGTAGAGAAGAGTGGTGGGGGTGGTTGTGTGCCAAATGTTCGAAAAGTCAAAAATTTGAAAATTATTTTTGCTAGTGTGACTTGTTTCAAATTTGACACCGGGTGTTGTGGTGTATCTTAAATATACTTTCATGATCACTGAAAAGTAATGGACCACATCCATTCACGATCTTTTCAAAGTGAAGTAGGCGTTGATATTTTTTGTTCATGTTGGACACACTGATTCGATAGTACTGTGTTTTGTCTGTCAGTAGTCGGACTCATCATCCCGTTTTCTATTTCTTTTATCAGATAGCTGCATTTTTTAATCAAGCAAATAAAAAGTTTTATTTTGTCAAAAATGTTTGTTTTTGATATATTTCCTAACCTTACATTTAAACGACATAACCTAACAAGAAAATCTGATGGAAATTTGATTATTCTCTACCGACTACCAACAAACTATTGAATTCTAGATTTTCATGGCCAACTCGATTTCAAAAAGATCGTGAATGGACTTAAAAATCTTCGCGGGAGATTTGAATTAAAACCAAAACTTGCAGCTTTTATATTTAATTAAAGCAAATAACGGTGGTTTTTATATAATTTTTTCAATTGAGGTATTTTATTTCTTTGTTTTCGAGAGAAAAATCATCAAAGAAAACCTAGTGTTTTTTTCGTGGGTCTGGTATAGGTTGGTCACACTGAGGTTGCCTAGGTGACGAAATCAATAACCGAGACGGAGCATTCAGTTTTCAAAACGACAAATTGTAAAATTTCAACGCCGAAATATCTAAAAATTGAGTAATCGGGACAATGAAAAATACAAAAATCTGAAATTGAAAAACCGAGAAATCGAAAATCCAAAATTTAAAAAACTGTGAAAATTGATAAATTGGAAAATCAAACAATTGAAAAATCGGGAGATCAAAAACCTGAAAATCGAGAATTAGACAATAAAAAATCAGTTAATCGGGAAATTGAGAAATCTAAAAATTGAAAATTTAGAAACGCCAAAAATTGAAGAGATACGAAAAATTGAAAAATCGGAAAACTGAAACGTCGGAAAATCTAGGAATTAAAAAATTGAGAAATCGAAAAATTGGAAAATCTCAACGCCGAAATATCGAAAAATTGAAAACGGATACAATGAAAAATTCAAAAATTTTAAATTGAAAAATCAAGAAACTGAAAAATTCAAAAATTGAAAAAGTAAAAAACTGAGAAATCGGAAAGTCGAAAAATCCAAAAATTGAAAAATGGAAGAAAAATTGAAGAATCAACGGATTGAAAAGTCGAGAATTAAGAATTGGGAAATAAAAAAATCAATTGACAAATGGAGAAATTAAGAAATCAAAAAGTTGAAAAACCCAAAAATTACAGACGCAAATATTGAAAAATCCTAAAACTGAAATATCAAAAAATTGAAGAATGGAAGAAAAAATTGAAGAATGGAAAATTTGAAAAATCGAAAAATTGAAAAATCAAAAAATTGAAAATTTAGAAACGTCAAAAATTGAAGAGTCGAAAAATTGAAAAATCGTAAAACTGAAACATCCGAAAATCTGTAAATTAAAAAACGAGACATCGAATAATTGGAAAATCCCGACTCCGAAATATATATCTAAAAATTGAGTAATCGAAAGATTGAAAATAGAAAAATTAAGAAATTCAAAAATCTAAAATTGAACAACCCAGAAATCGGAAATCCAAAATTTAAAAATCGAAAAATCTGAAAAATGAATCGAAAAACTGAAAAATTCAAAAAACTAGAATTGAAAAAGTAAAAAATCGAGAAATCGAAAACCCAAAAATTGAAGAAGCAAATATTGAAAAATCCTAAAACTGAAATATCAAAAAATTGAAGAATGGAAGAAAAATTGTAGAATCAACAAATTGAGAAGTCGAGAATCAAGAATTGGGAAATTGAAAAATCAATCGAAAAATGGAGAAATTGAGAAATCAAAAAGTTGAAAAATCCAAAAATTGAATCAAATATTGAAAAATCCCAAAACTGAAATATCAAAAAATTGAAAAATGGTAGACACATTAAAGAATCGAAAAATTGAAAAATCTAAAAATTGAAAATTTAGAAACGTCAAAAATGAAAAATTGAAGTCGAAAAATTGAAAAATCATAAAACTGAAATAAAACATCCGAAAATCTGTAAATTAAAAAATCGAGACATCGAAAGATTGAAAATAGAAAAATTGAGAAATTCAAAAATCTAAAATTGAACAACCCAGAAATCGCAAATCCAAAATTTAAAAATCGGAAAAATGAAGAATTGAAAAATTCAAAAAATTAGTATTGAAAAAATAAAAAATCGAAAACCCAAAAATTGAAGAAGCAAATATTGAAAAGTCCTAAAACTGAAATTTCAAAAAATTGAAGAATGGAAGAAAAATTGAAGAATCAACAAATTGAGAAGTCGAGAATCAAGAATTGGGAAATTAAAAAATCAATCGAAAAATGGAGAAATTGAGAAATCAAAAAGTTGAAAAATCCCAAAACTGAAATATCAAAAAATTGAAAAATGGTAGACACATTAAAGAATCGAAAAATTGAAAACTCTAAAAATTGAAAATTTAGAAACGTCAAAAATGAAAAATTGAAGAGTCGAAAAATTGGAAAATCCCAACGCCGAAATATCTAAAAATTGAGTAATCGAAAGATTGAAAATAGAGAAATTGAGAAATTCAAAAATATAAAATTGAAAAACCAAGAAATCGAAAATTCAAAATTTAAAAATCGGAAAACTGAAAAATTGAAAAAGTAAAAAATCGATAAGTCGGAAAATCGAGAAATGGGATATTAAAAAAACAATCGAGAAATGGAGAAATTGCGAAATCAAAAAGTTGAAAAATCCAAAAATTGAAGAATCAAATATTGAAAAATCCAAAAACTGAAATATCAATAAATTGAGAAATCTAAAACTTGAAAATTTAGAAACGTAAAAAATTGAAAAATCGTAAAACATCGGAAAATCTGTAAATTAAAAAATCGAAAAATTGGAAAATTCTAACGTCGAAATATCTAAAAATTGGAAAATTCAAAAATTGAAGAAGCAAATAGTGAAAAATCGTAAACTGAAAAATCAAAAAATTGAAGAATGGAAGAAACATTGAAGAATCAACAAATTGAAAAGTCGAGTATAAAAAATTGGAAAATTAAGAAATCTTGATAAATCCAGAAATAGAAAAATTGAAAAATTAAGATTTTAAAAAATCGAAAAATTGGAAAAGCGAAAAATCTAAAACCGAGAAGTCGAAAAATCGGGAAATTAAAAAATTTTAAATTTTAAAAATTGAAAAATTAAAATGTCAAAAAATTGGAAAGTCGAGAAATCGAAACATCAAAAAATCGAAAAAATTAAAAATCCAAAACTGAAAAACCGAAAAAGTTAAAAATGGTGAAATCGAAAAGTCGAAAAATCCAAAGTTGAAGGATCAAATGATATTGAAAAATCCCAAAACTGAAATGTCTAAAAATTAAAAAATGGAAAAAAAAACTGAAAATCCTAAAACTGAAACATCGAAAATTGAGAAATCGAAAAATTTAAAAATTGAGAAATCACGAAATGGAAAAATCAAAAAGTCAATCGTGAAATTGAGATATCGAAAAACTGGAAATTTAGAAACGTCAAAAATTGGAAAGTTATGAAATGGAAAAAATGTTTAATTCTAAAACTGATTGAAAAACTGGAAAATTGAAAAATTAAAAATTGAAGCTCTAAAATTAAAAAATGGATAAATCGAAAAATTGTAAAATACAGAAATTGAACACTCAAAAAATGGAAACATAATTCTCGATAAATCGAGAAATAGAAAAATTGCAAACATTTTAAAAAACCGAAAAATTTAAAACTGAAAATCGATAGATCGAGAAATCGAAACATAAAAAAAATCCAAAAATTGAATAATCTAAAATTACCAAATCGAAAAAAAACTGAAACATCGAAAAATTGAACAGTCGAGAACTAAAAAACCCGAAACTCGAGAAATTGGAAACTAAAAAATCAATTAATCGAAACATTGAAGAGTCAAAAAATTGAAAAATCGCTATTTTGAAAAGTTGAAAAATTGGAAAATCCCAGCACTGAAATATCTAAAAATTGAGTCAATCGAGAAATGGGAAAATCAAAAAATCAATCCAGAAATTGAAGTATCGAAAAATTGAAAACTCGTAAAACTGAAACACCGGAAAATTGAGAATTCGAAGAATGAAGAAATCGAGAAAACGAAATTTTGAAAAATTTAAAAATTCCAAAATTGAAATGAAAAACTGGAAAATCGAAAGATTAAAAATTGAAGACTATAAAATTATAAAATCGAGAAATTGAAAAATCAAAAATTTTAAAAAACAAAAAATCAAAAACTGAAGGAAAAAATTCGAAAAATTGAGAAATCGAAAATTTGAAAAATCGGGAAATCGAAACAATAAAAATCCAAAAATTGAAGAATCAAATATGGAAAAATCCCAAAACTGAAATATCAAAAAATTGACAAATCCTAAAACTGATATATCAAAAAATTGGGTCGAGAAATCGAGAAAACGAAAATTTGAAAAATTTAATAATTTCAAAACTGAAATGAAAAACTGGAAAATCAAAAAATTAAAATTGAAAACTATAAAATTAAAAAACCGATAATTCGAGAAATAGAAAAATTGAAAAATCAAAAATTTTTAAAAACCGTAAAATCAAAAACTAAGGAGAAAATTCGAAAATTCGCAAAATTGGGAAATCGAAGAATTGAAAAATCGGGAAATCGAAACAAAAAATCCAAAAATTGAAAAATCTAAATTAGCAAATCGAAAAAATAAAAAATCGAGAAATCCAAAAATTAAAGATTCAAATATTGAAAAATCCCAAAACTGAAATATCGAAAAATTGAACAATGGTAAAAACATTAAAGAATCGAAAAATAGAGAAACCTAAAAATTGAAAATTTAGGAACGTCAAAAAATTGAAGAGTGGAAAAATTAGAAAATCCCAACGCCGAAATATCTAAAAATTGAGTCATCGAAAAATCGGAAAAATAAAGAATTGAAAAACTGAAGAATCGAGAAATTGAAAAACTAAAAAAATGAAATGAAAAAGTAAAAAATCGAAAAATCGAAACGTCGAAAAACCCAAAAATTGAAGAATAGAAGAAAAATTGAAGAATCAACAAATTGAAAAGTCGAGAATCAAGGATTGGGAAACTAAAAAATCAATTGAAAAACGGAGAAATTGAGAATTCAAAAAGTTGAAAAATCCAAAAATTGAAAAATCAAATACGGAAAAATCCTAAAACTGAAATATCAAAAAATTAAACAGTGGTAGAAACACTAAAGAATAGAAAAATTGAAAAATCGTAAAACTGAAATATCGGAAAATCTCTAAATTAAAAAATGGAGAAATCGAAAAATTGGAAAATCCCAACGCCGAAATATCTAAAACTTTAGTAATCGAAAGATTGAAAATAGAGAAATTGAGAAATTCAAAAATTTAAAATTGAAAAATCAAGAAATCGAAAACTCAAAATTTAAAAATCGCAAAAATTAATAAATCGGAAAAATGAAAAATCGTAAAACTAAAAAATCGAGAAACTGAAAAATTCAAAAAACTAAAATTGCAAAAGTAAAATATCGGTAAATCGATAAGCCGAAAAACCTAAAAATTGAAAAAGCAAATATTGAAAAATGCTAAAACTGAAGAATGGAAGAAAAATTGAAGAATCAACAAATTGAAAAATCGAGAATCAAGAATTGAGAAATTAAAAAAATCAATCGAGAAATGGAGAAATTGAGAAATCAAAAAGTTGAAAAATCAAAAATTGAAGAATCAAATATTGAAAAATTCCAAAACTGAAATATCAAAAAATTGAAAATTTAGAAACGTCAAAAATGAAAAATTGAAGAGTCGAAAAATTAAAAAATCATAAAACTGAAACATCGGAAAATCTGTAAATTAAAAAATAGAGAAATTGAGAAATTCAAAAATCTAAAATTGAAAAACCAAGAAATCGAAAATCCAAAATTTAAAAATCGCAAAAATTTATAAATCGGAAAACTGAAAAATGGAGAAACTGAAAAATTGAAAAAATAAAAAATCGATATGTTGAAAAATTAAGAAATGGGAAATTCAAAAAATAAATTAATCGAGAAATGGAGAAATCGAAAAATTGACAAATCGGAAGTTGAAAAATCTAAAATTCGAAAAAATGGTATGTCTAAAATTTTTGATTTTTTATCCAAAAATCTCGATGTGTAGGACAAAAACTCAACACGGATTCATAAACCACAAGTTCAGGACTATGTTACTTCTTAACTTTTAAAATAACATTTATTCGACAAAACTGTCACTGTGTTATAGACCACATTCTCCCACGATGTTTTTTAAACTAAGTAAGCATTGATATTTTTTCTTCATGTTGGACACACTGATTCGATAATATTGTTTTTTGTCTGTCAGTAGTCTGACTAATCATCTCAACATTTACATCGAGCCGATTTTTTTTTTATAAAATTTTTTCAATTGCGGTATTTTATTTCTTTGTTTTCGAGAGAAAAATCATCAAAGGAGACCTAGTGTTTTTTTGGTGTGGCTAGCATACGTTGGTTACACTGAGGTTGCCTAGGTGACGAAATCAATAACCAAGCCATTCAATTTTGAAACTTCAAACTTTAAAAAGAAGTTAAAATATGTAGTTTGAGTTGTTGTTTTCCGGGATTGAGTGTTTTGATAGGTAGAAATGACAAATCGATCCCCAAATATTTGTTTCCGATAACGTCTAAAACTTACTTGGTTTCCAGATCAAAGCGGTATGTAATCGAAAATTTAAACTATTAAATGAATAAATATTATTATTGGATTTTGCCAAATAAACAATTATTTAGAATCATTTTATAACACTGTGACACTAATTGGCAAACCAATATTTTATTTAGTTCACTGACAGATCATAGTAATACTGGTTGCATATTTTCCAAAAAAAATTGAGGGGTGTGCTTTGATGCATTTTTATTTATTTATTTTTTAACAACACAAAGAGCTACAAAAACAATATTACACCATGTTTAACATCTTAATGGCGACTACCAATCCCACCACTCGACTAGTAGACGTTTTGGTGTTTTTCTCTGTGTAAATGTTTTCCGGTGCGAGCAACAAGATGGCATCTCCCCCAAATGGCCGCCTTCTCGTTGCCCGCATCTTCGGTGTTCGATGTATCTCGCGTGGGCATAACCAGACACGTGTTTCTTGTGTTTGATGTAGGAGTATCCTTGCCCTCAGGTGCACCGGAAGGGTCCGTTGGGCGCCGGGACGCCCACCGTGACCGACCAGCGGCGCCGGCCGATGTCGTTCGTGCGGGCGCTCGAGATGTCCGACTCGGTGGAGCTGACCGCCCCCAACTCCCAGTGTGCTGCCCACATGCCTCAACGTCCCTCCACCCCCGACCGGACCAGCGTCTACGACATGAACTATGAGATATCTGTATAGGGCAGGTGTTGGCACTCTCGCCCCGCCGAATGAGTGCATTTAGTTTCTCTGCATCAGAGACCCTCATCGTAACAGTAAACATTCCGTTTACTACTCATCCCACTGTGTCACGGACCTAAGACCAACTGTAGTGTGTGTAATATAATCTATATGTTATTTGTTGTTTATCTACAATGTTTAAAGAATTTTCGTCTCATTTGGAAATTTTATCCGTGTGTATTATGGAAATGTGGCTTGTGTTGTTGTTTTACTGTTGACTTAACATTTGTTTGTATTTTTTTATATTTTGTTTTTTAGTGATCTGATCATAACAAACCTAACCAGACTGTAACTGTACTAACCGAAAGCAGCGGCTCAGGCATCTTTTTTTTTATAAGATGAGTTGTTGAGTGTATTATTGATGATAACTTTAATGGTGTAAATATATTTAAGTTTTAGTAGTTTTTTTTTTTATTTGCACAGCACGTCGGACGCGGGAACCACCAACGTGTGAAAGGAAATATACACCGGACGTAGTAATGCACATGATGAAACACACTTTGTATATCGTTCAGGATATTTTTAGACAGAGGTAGGTAATCTCAATTTAGTAATTTTGTTGGGCAACCAATTTCGTATATGCAACCGTTGGGACCCCGAGAAGGTTTCACATTCTTAACAAAGACATTTTGGACCCCCGAGAAGGTTTTACATTTTTAAAAAAGACAGTTGGGACCCTTGAGAAGGTTTCACATTCTTGACAAAAAGACATTTGGGACCCCCGAGAAGGTTTTACGTTTTTAAAATAGACATTTGGGATCCCTGAGAAGGATTTACATTCTTAACAAAAAGACATTTTGGATCCCCAAGAAGGTTTTACATTAAAAAAAAAAACAGTTGGGACCCCCGAGAAGGTTTCACATTCTTGACAAAAAACATTTGGGACCCCCGAGATTTCACATTCTTAAAACAAGACATTTGGCGTCCCCGAGAAGGTTTTACATTTTTAAAAAAGGCAGTTGAGACCCCCGGGAAGGTTTCATATTAAAAAAAAGACATTTGGGGCCCCCGAGAGGGTTTTACATTTTGAAAATAGAGAGTTAGGACCCCTGAGAAGGTTTTACATTTTTAAAAAAGACAGTTGGGACCCCCGAGAAGATTTCATATTAAAAAAAGACGGTTGGGACCCGTGAGACGGTTTTACATTTTTAAAAAAGATATTTGGAACACCCGAGAAGGTTTCACATTCTTAACAAAAAGACATTTGGGACCTCCGAGAAGATTTCACATTCTTAAAACAAGACATTTGGCGCCCCCGAGAAGGTTTTACATTTTTAAAAAAGACAGTTGGAACCCCCGAGAAGGTTTCATTAAAAAAAAAGCCGTTTGGGGCCCCCGAGAACGTTTTAGATCTAAAAAAAAGACCGTTGGAACCCTTGAGAAGGTTTTACATTTTAAAAAAAGACAGTTGGGATCCCAAGAAAGTTTCACATTCTTAAAAGAAAGACATTTTGCGCCCCTGAGAAGGTTTTCCATTTTTAAAAAAGACAGTTGGGAACCCCGGGAAGGTTTCATATAAAAAAAGACATTTGGGGCCCCCGAGAAGATTTCACATTTTTGAAAAAAGACAATTGGGACCCCCGAGAAGGTTTTACATTTTTAAAAAAGACGGTTGGGATCCCCGAGAAGGTTTCATATTAGAACAAAGCCAAATGGGGCCCCCGAGAAGGTTTTACATTTTAAGAAAAGACAGTTGGGACCCCCGAGAAGGTTTTACATTTTTAAAAAGACAGTTGGGGCCCCCGAGAAGGTTTTACATTTTTAAAAAAGACGGTTGGGATCCCCGAGAAGGTTTCATATTAGAAAAAAGCCAAATGGGGCCCCCGAGAAGGTTTTACATTTTAAAAAAAGACAGTTGGGACCCCCGAGAAGCTTTTACATTTTTAAAAAAGACAGTTGGGGCCCCAGGGAAGGTTTTACATTTTTAAAAAAGACAGTTGGGACTCCTGAGAAGGTTTTACATTTCCAAAAAAGACATTTGGGGCCCTCTGGAAGGTTTCATCTTAAAAAAAAAGACATTTGGGACCTCCGAGAAGGTTTCAAATTCTTAAAACAAGACATTTGGCGCCCCCGAGAAGGTTTTACATTTTTAAAAAAGACAGTTGTTGGGCTCCCAAGAAAGTTTCACATTCTTAAAAGAAAGACATTTTGCGCCCCTCAGAAGGTTTTACATTTTTAAAAAAGGCAGTTGGGACCCCCGGGAAGGTTTCATATATAAAAAAAAGACATTTGAGCCCCCCGAGAAGATTTCACATTTTTGAAAAAAGACAATTGGGACCCTCGAGAAGGTTTTACATTTTTAAAAAAGACAGTTGGGATCCCCGAGAAGGTTTCATATTAGAAAAAAGCCAAATGGGGCCCCCGAGAAGGTTTTACATTAAAAAAAAAGACAGTTGGGACCCCCGAGAAGGTTTTACATTTTTAAAAAAGACAGTTGGAACTTCCGAGAAGGTTTCATATAAAAAAAAAACATTTGGGGCCCCCGAGAAGGTTTTACATTAAAAAAAAAAGACCGTTGGGACCCGTGAGAAGGTTTTACATTTTTAAAAAAGATATTTGGAACACCCGAGAAGGTTTCACATTCTTAACAAAAAGACATTTGGGACCTCCGAGAAGATTTCACATTCTTAAAACAAGACATTTGGCGCCCCCGAGAAGGTTTTACATTTTTAAAAAAGACAGTTGGAACCCCCGAGGTTTCATTAAAAAAAAAAAGCCGTTTGGGGCCCCCGAGAAGGTTTTACATAAAAAAAAGACCGTTGGGACCCCTGAGAAGGTTTTACATTTTTAAAAAAGACAGTTGGGATCCCAAGAAAGTTTCACATTCTTAAAAGAAAGACATTTTGCGCCCCTGAGAAGGTTTTCCATTTTTAAAAAAGACAGTTGGGACACCAGGGAAGGGTTCATATTAAAAAAATGCCATCTGGGGCCCCTGAGAAGGTTTTACATTTAAAAAAAAGACATTTGGGCCCCCCGAGAAGGTTTTACATTTTAAAAAAAGACATTTGGGGTCCGAAGAGAGGTTTAAATTTAAAAAAAAGATTGGGGACCCCCAAGAAGCTTTCACATTCTAAAAAAAAAAAATTTAGCGCCCCCAAGAAAGTTTTACATTTTTAAAAGGACAATTGGAACCCCCGAGAAGTTTTTACATTCTTAAAAAAATACATTTTGGGTCCCCAAGAAGGTTTTACATTTTTAAAAAAGACAATCCCCAAGAAGGTTTTACATTTTTAAAAAAGACAATTGGGAGCTCCGAGAGGGTTTCACATTCTTAAAAAAATCATTTTGAGCTCTCAAGAAGGTTTTATATTTAAAAGAAAACTGGTCAAAATTTATTTCGAAAGAACCTCCCTTGCTCCTGAAACAAATCTCGCTTCTTTGAACAATTATAAAATTTGAAAAATGCGAACGATGGAAAATATATTTAACGAAAAAATGAACACTTAATAATTAGGTGGTTAACTTTGTGAAGTTATTTATGTTTATACTTCGAAAAAAGTCGAATTATTTGCGGTGTGACATTACTGTAATTTTCAAGTAAATAGGGTGAACTGTTCTTGATTTGTTAAAAAAAAATGTAACGAGGATGCGAATGAAATTCGAACCTCATTAGCGCAGATCTTATTTGAACACTTGGGTGGCACTCCAGCCCAAGCTATCACAACGCAGTTACACAGCACACGTAGCGAGTATTGCAGAAACATTTCTGTAAAATAATTGTGATTAAACCTAAACGCGAATTCGTAAACTACAAGTGTAGGAATATTTGATTTAAAAAATTTTAAAAGTATTTGATGATTAGATAAATTTAATCCAAAATAATGAGTTTAATTTTTCATTAGGGATATTCGCATATAAGTACGAAATTGGTTTCAAACCAAGTTATTAGATTACATGTCCTACCTTTGTCAAAAAACATCTCGAACGATTTATAACTGATTTTTCTTAGCACCACAGCTTAGAACAGATCCCTGTGGAGACTTTTTTAACATTACGTGTTAAGATGACGTCATCGATTCCTTGGAGGAAATGAATAAATAAATTTTAGAGTTACACCACCTTCAGGTTAATCTATAAATATAATTAAGATTTGAAAATGCCCCCCCTTATTGTTTTTAGCGTGTTCTGAAGTCCTTAAAAAGGTATTTCCAGTGGTAAAACTTATTGTTTTAACTGTCCAAAAATAATCTTCTTTCATTAATAATCCTTGAAGAGTTTACATTGGCGCCATTTCCAGTTGTGAAATAGAGCTAATAATAACAGTAACAATATAATGACTGTTGTTATCGTTTTAAGTTGTTGGTTTCTCCAGCGCAATGACTGTAACCTCAACTTCATAAGAAAACAATCAATGGTAAAGTTGGACACTATTACTGGGCATTTCTTAAAAAAAAATAAATAAAAAAAATTATCATCAAATTTTTCTGACTGCGTTTCAGAGTGAAACTCTTTGTGTAAAAACCTTAACAATAAATATTTATTGTACGAAGATAACGAGTATTTTACAAGTAAACCTATTTTGTAATAAATAAATATTTAAAAATTAGAAACACTACAATCGTCTTATGTTCTTGTAGCCTCTACATCGTCGCACCAGCTCGAACTTTCTGTATCTCATACAGTGCCACTGAGGAATCTGGGCCATGATTTCTAAAGCCTGAATAAATAAATTAGGAAAAATGCAAAAACCAAATAAATAAAACGCACCGTTTCGGGGTTTCCCACAGGACCCGTCCAGCACCTCTGCACCCAGCAAACGGCAACAACCATGACAACGACACACAATTTCAACACCTTCATTGTTACAATGCACACAAAATGCAAGCGTTAACTGGATGCACCGAGCCCCCTTATTTATTTATATTATGCAAAATAGAACAACCTACTTTTCAATAGACCCCAATCAATTAACCATCTCAAAAATTACTCAGTAACCTACTTTACTTATTAAAGATATTGGTAATAACCCAGAATGGGGTAATTTTCCCGGCTCTTTCTTATCAAGAAAGTGTCGGCGCTACACTAAATAAACAACCAATTTAATTCAATCAGCGCATTTCCGTCCCGACTCGCAGTCACAAATGGTCCGAGCAACACGTGACGTGAAAATCGACGTATGCAACACATAATGGTCGCGATGGAGTTTTCCAATATCTCCGACCAAACCATCATGGGCAAGCGTGTTTGAACCCCGCGCGAACCCCTCCGCCAATCCGCGCGCACCAAACCGCGGACGCCGCTCCCCATTGGCCGCTATTTTTTGACAGTGACGTTTTTGACAGCCGATTGGTGATGACGTTTCCGAAAAGCAACATGGCGATTTTCCTACTGATAGACGCAATGGCTTCAAGGGTGCATTTTCACGTATTTTAGGAGAAACTTAAAGAAAAATGACGAAGTAAGCTCCCGAAACGTGCGGACTAGTTGTTGAATTCGTTTAGCGTATTTAGGTTAGTGAGGAGCGCGCGTGTGTGGAATTTCAACCGCGAGTTGTTATCTAATAAGGTAATTGAATTGTTTTGTAAATAATGAGGTGGGATTGTTTACATGTGTAACCTCACCTGCGGAATGCTAATTGGGCGTGTTGTAGAGGGATGGAGACTGCCGTGGTCGACTCTTCCGAGACCAACAACGTGGAGTCCCCGCCGGACTTACCACCGAAAGAAGTCGCCGAAGAGGGCGTTCCCGACTCCGTGAGCAGCAGCGAGACCGAGAAGAACGCGACCAGCGAGAAGGAGTTGTCGTGGGAAAAAATCGCAGCTGAAATCGCCGCCGACGGCGACAACGAAACGAGTGAAGTGAGTGCGGGGGCCGAGGCCGAGGCCACCGAACCCAAAACGGACGAGACTGTGATAACTACTGTGACTGAAGAGAAAACCGCGACTGACGAGACGCACGAGGTGGTGGCAGATAGCACCGAGCAGCAAACCGTCATTGAAAGTGAAGAGGTGGACTACGTTACGGACACGAAGGAGGCGGAGCCCGTGGTTGAAACCACCACGGAGAACCCAGAGCCAGAAGACGCGCTTCCGGTCGAAGAGGTCGCCGTGCCCGTCGAGGAAGTCGCGCTTCCCGTGGACGAAGAAACCAGTGACCTTGACAAGTCCGTCGGCTCCATACCCGTCGACGAGGTGATCGAAGAAACGGTGACAGAAGTCGTGGAAGGCGGGGAGCCAGAGGAGGCAGCCACTGAAGTGGTTGAAGCCCCAGAAACTGAGGAAATTCCAGAGACTGAGGAACAACCAGAGTCTGAGGAGCATCCAGAGTCTGAGGAGCATCCAGAGACTGAGGAACTTCCAGAGACCGAGGAGCCAGAGGCCGAGGAACATCCAGAAAATGAGGAACATATAGTGGTGCAGGAACCGCCAGATGTGGCGGAAACGCCTCCCGAAAAACAAAAAGAAATAGAAATCTCGGAATTGAAGTGTGATGAAGTGCCGCCAGAGGCCGTGGAGGAGATGGAATACACAGTTCTTGAATCTGAAGACGTCGAGACCAACGAGATCATCGAGGAGCATCTAGCGCAAACGAAAACCTCCAAAGGGCTCACCGAGACTGTGGTTATTATAAATCCGGACGAATCGCAGACTGAACTAACTATAGAACAGATTGAGGACGATGACCGGAATGACGATAGTTCGCAGGATTATACAGAGGCGATTTATCTGGTGACGAAGGAAAGCGAGTCCGTGGATGATCCTCACAAATCAGAGGAAGTGGTGACACCCAAACCCAAAAAACAACGCGGGCGTAAACCCATCTCTGATATCCCTCTCCACGTTCTGGGTAGAGATATCAGTAAACCCACGGAAGGAGTGTCCAATGGTGGTCGCACCATGCCTAAACCGCGACTCGGGGTGAAGGTCCCTTACAGAAATCTAACCAGTCAGATCGTCTCCAAGCAAGAAATCGAGAAAGAAATCATGGAACGTTTCAAAATGAAGCAAGAACAGAATTCCACCAGCAGCGGCGATCTTCTCTTTGCGAGAAAACTCACACAACGTCTAGCGAAAAAATTGATCCCCACGGATAAAGAAAAAACGAGCCCGAAAGCAGAACCCGCTGAAGCCCCCAGCAGTTCTGTGAATCAAATGTCAGAAATCAAAAACAATTCCGACTTGATTGCGATTTTGGAGGGCGAAGGTGACGAGATACAACTAATGAACCAGAAGCAAGCAGCTGAGGAAAGGAAAGAGGTTGCTAAAAGAACAGAAAGAGAAATCGCTTTGGAGCAGCTGAAGGAGTTACCAGGAAAGCCTGTGAAAGTCCTCAAACCTAAACCAGAAGAAGAGAAGAAAGTAGCGACTCCACAAAAGGAGGCAAAAGTAGTAATAACACCAACGGTTTCCCAAAAGTCTCCTGGTGACAAGAAACCGGTGGACCTTGAACCAAGACTCAAAACCGGAATGGTGATCAAAACGTACACCAGGAAACGTAAATCGACGGAGTTGGAGCCAGTTCTGCCACCAAAAAAAGCGGCTCTTACTACCCCAATTAAAACCGAAGACGGTTCCCCGAGTAATGTTTACATAACGAAGAGCTCGAGGGTGATCAAAAGGAAAGTCATTTGGGACCCTGATGAGGTGCCAAGTAAGAGTCCGATGAAATCGCCAAAAATCGAACCGTCTAAACCATCACCCGCTAAACCAGTGGAAAAGAAAGATCCAGTTAAAGTAGTAGAGAAGAAGGAACCGGTCAAAGTCGTCGAGAAAAAGGAAGCTGTGAAAATCGTGGAAAAGAAAGAAACCTCTGAAAAGTCCCCCGAGAAAAAAATCGCAACTCCCGTGAAGAAAATCGTCAGTAAAAGTCCGCAACCCCCAGCGAAAAAACCCAAACGGTTGACCGAAGTAGACAAACTCTTAATGGACGAAGGGGCCGTCAATATGATCTACGACGTAAAAACCAACGACGACGCAAGCCCCGACAAAGTCAAAAAGAAGACCAACAAATCCGTCATCAGTCTAGACCGAGCACACAAAGAGCTCATGAGTAAAACCAACGTGATCAAGAACGATCTTCAACAGAATACCACAAAAGACGTACAAAAATCGCTACGTAAAAAAGAGATCGTGTCACCTACGTTGAAAAAAGAAGCGAAAAAAGAAACCACACCCACTGCCATCACCCGAAAAAAATCTAAAGACTCTACCAGGAGTTCCGTTCACAGTCCGCCTTCGTCTCCCCCGTACAACGCCGCCGAGGCTTCGCGCATCATCAGGAGACACTCGAGTAGTTCGTTCTCCAGCAACGACGAGATGAGCGAAGAAGACGGCGAGGAGAAGTCGCCGAAGAAGAAGCCGGCGGAGTCGCCGAAGAAGAAGGTGAAGAAGAGCGGCGACGGGAAGCCGAAGGAGGTGGCCAAGAACAACAACAATACGGTCACGGAGGCGAAGGTTAATCACGTGGAGAAGAGCGTGGTGGAGTACAAGTCGTTCACGACGACGAAGAAGAACAAATTGATGTCGATTAAGTTGCACAGCGTGGACGGGAAGTGTTACTTGAACGAGCAGGTAATGGATTGGGGGGCGCGGATTGGTGGTAATTGAGTTGGGTTGCAGGTTTTGAAGGATTTGACGGCGTGTTTGAAGGAGTACGGGAAGGACGACGATTGTCACGTGGTGTCGATTACTTCGGATAGCAATGAGTCGTTCTGCGAGGGGCTGGATTATAGGCTGCTGGTCGTGGAGGAGGAGGCGGCGCGTAAAAAGAAAGCCAATGAGTTGGCGACTTTAGTAAAGTAAGATTTGCATGCTTTTTAATGCCTGTATTTGTGGTGTATGAATCCGGGTTTAGTTTTCACACTAGACATCCAGATTTTTGGAAAAAAAAATCAAAACCGGATACTCTGAAATCTTGCAAACGGTGTAAGATTGTCGTAATTGTAAATTGTTGATCAAAATTTATTCGATTAACCCTCCCAAAAAATTATTGAAGTCTCAAAATTTTGTAATGGAAAAACTCACTTGAAACTAACGCATAGCACGCTTCTTTACATTTACTTTAACTTTACATACATATTTCTATTTTAATTAATAAGGATTTTTGTTAAAAAAAAAAACGCAGAATCAAATCTTATAATTTTTCATTTCCGTGAATTTTCCAGTTCTTGAGTTTTTATTTTTCATGCTCCCGAATTTTTAAATTTTCATTATTTGTTTTTTCACTTCCCCGATTTTCAAATTTTTCAATTTTGAAATTTTTGGATTTCCAACTATCTGATTTTCCGATTTAATTATCAGCAATTCTCAACTTTTAATCATAATCTTAAGTTTTTCAAGTTCTTAATTCCAATTTTCAGATTTTTGAACGTTTTCAATTTAGTAATTGTTCAATTTTTTTTATACGAAAAGTTGAAAAATTGAAAAATTAAAAACCGAAAAACTAAAAAATAAAAAAAAATGAATAATCGTACAACTGAAGAAACGAAAAATCGAAACTTTGAAATAAATAACTAAAAATTGGGAAACTCGAAAATCGAAGAAAATTGGAAAACCAAAAAATTGTAAAATCGAAAAGTTTCTGAATCCTCAAAATTTTAAATTCGAAAAACCGTGACATTGAAATATCGAAAAATTAAAAAATCGAATATCGAAAACTAAAAAATTAAAAATCGAATAAATGAAGAAGTTTTAAAATTCAATAATTGAAAAATGGAAAAAATCTAAATTCGTAGAACCGAAAAAGTGAAAAAATTTAAAACCTAATTATATTTAAAACGAAAACTAGAAACATTTCAAATCAGATTGAAAATTGAGAAATTGGAAGTCGAAAAATCGAAAAATTTCACGTTAAAAAACACAAAAATCAAAACATTGAAAAACGAAAAATTGAAACAATGAAGATAAAAACCCGAAACCAAAAATTACAAATCGAAAAATTGAAGATATCAAAAATAAAAAAAATTGAAAAATTAAAAATTAAAAACTTATGAAATTCAGAAATCTAAAAATTGAAACATTGAAAAGTTCTAAAATCGAAAAACTAATAAATTTAAAAATGAAAACTCGAAGAGTTCCATGTCGTAAAATTGAAGAAACAAAAAAAAAATCGAAAATTGCAAATCGAAAAATTGAACAAATTCAAATTGAAAAAACAAAAAATTATAAAATCGGAACACTGAAAAGATCGAAAATTTGGAAAAATAAAACAAATAAAAACCTTAAAAAAAAAATTTTAAAAGTCGAATAAATGAAAAGATTTAAAATCCAATAATTGACAAATGGAAAAAATCGTAGAATTGAAAAAGTGAAAAATTTTAAAAACTAATTATTACATATTTAAAACGAAAACTAGAAAAATTACAAATCAAAAATTGAAAAGTTATGAAAGTAAAAAATCTAAAAATTGAAAACTGAGAAATTGGAAGTCGAAAAATTGAAAAATTTCCCGTTAAAAAAAACAAAAATGAAAACATTGAAAAACCAAAAATTGAAAAAATGAAGGTAAAAACCCGAAACCAAAAATAACAAATCGAAAAATTGAAGACATAAAAATTAAAAAAATTAAAAAATTGAAACACTAAAAATGAAAAATTTATGAAATTGCAGAAATCCAAAAAATGAAAAAAAAAACAAAAAATTATAAAATTGGAACATTGAAAAAATCGAAAAATTTAAGAAATAAAACAAATAACAAACCTAAAAAAAAAATGAAACGTCGAATAAATGAAAAAGTTATTTGAAAAATGGAAAAAATATGAAAACCTAGAATTGAAAAAGTGAAAAATTTTAAAAACTAATTATTACATATTTACAACGAAAACCAGAAAAATTACAAATCAAAAATTGTAAAGTCGTGAAAGTGAAAATCAAAATATTGAAAAACCAAAAATTGAAAATAAAGAAGATGAAAAACCCGAAAAATTGAAGACATAAAAAATTTAAAAAATTGAAAAATTGAAAACTTACGAAATTGCAAAATTCCAAAAATTGAAACATTAAAAAGTTCGAAAATCGAAAAACTAATAAATTTAAAAATGGAAACTCGAAGAGTTATGTTGTAAAATTGAACAAACAAAAAAAGAAAAATTGGAAAAATAAAGCAAATAAAAATCTAAAGAAAAATTTGAAAAATCGAATAAATGAAAAAATTTAAAAATCCAATAACTAAAAATGAAAAAATGCTTAAATCGTAAAATTGAAAGAGTGAAATATTTAAAAAATCATTATTACACATTTAAAATGAAAACTAGGAAAATTGAAAAATCTAAATCGAAAAAACGGAAAAATAAAAAATCTAAAAGTTAAAAAACCGAAAAATTGCAAATTGAAAAAATAAAACAAAAGAAACGAAAAAGTGCAAAATTTAAAAATTGAAACATCCAAAAGTTGGTAAATCGAAAACTGAAAAATTTTAAATTAAAAACTCGAAGAGTGCGTATGATTAAATTGAAAAAACAAAACAAAAATGAAAATTTCAAATTGAAAAATGATAAAATTAGAACATTGAAAAATAGATTGTAAAGATAAAGAAAATAAAAACCAAAACGAAAAATTGCAAATCGAAATTTGAGGGAATGAAAAATGAAAAATCGAAGAATTGAAAAATTAAAAATGAAAAATCGCAAATCGAAAAGTTGAAGAAACTAGAAACCGAAAAAATTAAAATTGAGAAAAACAAAAAAATTATGAAAAAGAAACATTGAAAAATCGAATAACTGGAAGAAAAAAGAAAATAAAAAAGCGAAAGGAAAAATTGAAAAATCCAAAAAGTGAAAAATCTTATACTGAAACAAAGAAAACTTATAAAATCACAATATTGAAAAGCCGGAAAATTGAGAAAGTAACGAAAATAAAAACCTAAACAAATCAAAAATTTGAAAAGTCGAATGAATTAAAAAAATTTAAAATCCAATAACTGAAAAATGAAAAAATCGAAACATTAAAAATCGAAAAATTCTAAGTAATAAAATTGCAAAAAATTGAGTAAACTAGACACTGAAAAATGAAAATTGAAAAAAAAAGAAATTTTGAAACATAAACGTCGAAAAATCATATAACTGAAAATAAAAATAAGGAAAATAAAAACCCTAAACGAAAAATTGAAAAATGCAAAAGTTGAAAAATCTGACATTGAAAAAAGAAAAGTTATAAAATTAGATTATTGAAAAACCAAAAAATTAAGAAAGTAAAGAAAACTAAAAACCTAAAGGAAACGTTGCAACTCAAAAATTTGAAAAATCGAATAAATAAAAAATTTAAAAATTCTGAAAAATGAAAAAATGCTACAATCGTAAAATTAAAAAATCTAAAAGTTGAAAAATCGAAAAATTAAAAACCGAAAAAATGAAGACATGAAGAATTGAAAACTCATGAAATTGTAAAATTGTAGAAACAAAAAACTGAAAAATTTGAAATTGGAAAATAAAAAATGTTAAAATGGAAATATTGAAAATGGAAAAATTCTAAAACTACAGAAAATAAAAAAAGCAAAACGAAAAGCTGCAAATCAAAAATTTGAAAAAAAAAGTAAAAGGTTCGAAAAACTGAAAAATTAAAATTGAAAAATCGCAAAAAGTTGAAACTAGAAAGCGAAAAAATGAAAATTGAAAAAAATAGAAAATGAAAAACCTAAACAAAAAATTGGAAAATCCTAAAGTTGAAAAATTTCCTGTTGGAAAAAAGAAAAGTTAGAAAATCAGAATATTAACAAACCGGAAAATTGAGAAAGTAAAGAAAATAAAAAACTAAACTAAACGTTGCAAATTTAAAATTTCAATAACTGAAAAATGAAAAAATGCAAAAATCGTACAATTGAAGTAAAATATTTTAAAGATCATGATTACATATTTAAAATGAAAACTAGAAAAATACAAAAATCGAAAAGTTGAAAAATCCAAAAATTGAAAACAGAAAAATTGCAAATTGAAAGAATAAATATCGAAGAATTGCAAAATAAAAAAATTGAAACATCCAAATGTTGGAAAATCGAAAAACTGAAACATTTAAAAATGAGAACTAATTGAAAAAACGAAAAATTGAAAAAATTGAAATAAAAAAAAGATAAAATCGGAACATTGAAAATCGAAAAATTAAAAAAACTAAAGAAAATAAAAAACTAAAACGAAAAATTGCAAATCAAAAATTTGAAAAAATGAAAAATTGAGTCGAAAAATTAAAAAATCTAAAATTGAAAAGTCGAAAAATTGAAAACCAAAAAATTGCAATTCGAAAAATTGAAAAATCCAAAAAATGAAAAATGACAAAATCAAAACATTGAAATAATGAGAAACTAAAAATATAAAGACCAAAACGAAAAACCGAAATCGAAAAATTGAAGAAATGAAGAATTGAAAATTCGAAAAAGAGAAATTCGAGAAACAAAAAAAAAAATAATAAAAAACTGAAAAATTGCAAATAGAAAAATTGAAAAATTTGAAGCTGAAAAAATATATAGGAACATGAAAAAAACGAAAAATTTGAAAGTCGGATAAATGAAAAACTGAAAAATTGCAAATAGAAAAAAACCCAAACAAAAAATTGAAATTTCCAATAGCTGAAAAATCCCATATGAAACAAAAAGTTATAAAATGAGCATATTGAAAAACGGAAAAATTGAGAACTAAAGGAATTAAAAACCGAAACGAAAAATTGTAAAAATAAAGAATCGAAAAACTGAAAAATTAAAAATTGAAAACTCGAGGAACTTTAAATCGAAAATTTGCGGATGAGGGAAGTTCTGTCGAAATAACCTTCGATCAATTCTTTGTTCTTGTGGCTGTAAATGGTCTCAAAATTTATTCTAGTCATTTTCAGTACTCGATTATAACCTTCTGTTTACGATTCCAGGGAGTTCCTAAGGTGCCTTTTAAACTTTCCCAAGGTCTTAGTGGCCGGCATTCAAGGAGACTGTGTAGGTTTAGCTGTCACAATGCTGCCACTTTTTGACATGGTAATAGCGAGTGACACCTCGACGTTCAGTGCCCCCTACTCGAGGTTAGGGTGCATACCAGAGGCCGGATTTTTACTCAGCGTACCGCATTTAAGCAGTAACGGATTGGTAAATATAAAAATTTAGGTTTTTTGTAATTAAAACATTTTTATTTCTTATCGTAAAAGGCGAGCGAATTGTTGTATGCTTCTCAAACAATCAAAGCAGACGATGCATTTAGAAGAGGTTTAGTATCCAGGCTTTGTTGGCCCGAGAAGTACCAGCAGGAGCTAAAAGCACTCGTTTCACAAGTCGGAAATCAATCTAGAGAGGTATTTTTTAGTAAACAACTATATAAATCTTGTAATTTGTGTAGAGTTGAGTAGATTGAGTAATGTGTGTTGGTGTGTTCCAGAGCATAATAGCAACCAAGCAGCAGTTGCGCCAAAACGTCTTGCAGAGCACAGAGTCGGCGTTGAGTTCCGCGAGTAAAGTTCTGGTCGAGTACTGGACTAGTCCAGAGTGTCAAAAGAACTTCGCCAAATAGGGCGCCCTAGGTGTAGAGTAGTGGGATGAAAAATTGTTGAAAATATCAATGGTACAAACTGTTTTGTTTCATTCGTAGGATAAGTGATGAATTTGATGAATGTAAATTGTTTACATTTCGGACTTTATGTATAACTTGGAAAAAATATTTTTTATATTTTCATAAATAGAGTAAGGTTTCCATCTTCATTAGGATACCTAATTTAGATTGTAAAAATCATCGTAGTGATGCGTTGTAAGATGCAAATGTTCACTCTAATGCACGTTTTGAAGATGTCTCTATCAATTTTCCAAAGAATGGTGCAATCTGGATCTTCGTATGAGTTGCGGTTGATTTAAGAGGACTGTATCGGTTTTATCAAGTGTTGAAAATTTTATGAAGCGTATTTTTAATAAAACATCTGAAGGAAATTATTGGATTGTTGATTTCGACGATTTCCGTTCTAGCGATATGCTTTTTATTTTAGTTTTAATTTTCTGTTATGAAGAGTAGATTCGTTTAGTATTATCTTTATGCAATATATTATGTAACAGATTCAAGTGTTTTTTTGACCTGTCCCGACTAACACTTGTACAGTTAGCAAGCTTAATTAGCCAAGGCGAAAGAACAGATGAATTGAAGTCGGCCCCAAAGGGCAAACTAATCTATTGTTAAATAAATTTCACAAAAAAGCTAATTCGTCACGAGTTCATGACGTAATAAAAATCTGAAATATTGGCAGCATGTATGCATGAATCGCAACAATTTTAATCGTTAACCGTTAATTAGTGAGATTCTAACGGATAATGGATAATGAATCTAAAAGTCAACGACCTGTTCAAAATGTGTTAAATTAAATGGAAATTGGTGGGTTGTGATTGATAGAAATAAAAGGAACAAATATGAAAACTAAAGGTAAGTATTTTTTCAGGTATTACTTGTGATGACAGAAACGGAAACCTGCATTTTCGTACTTCATGCTTAGAAAGTAAGAAGGGAAGCAACTGGAAGATTTTATGTTATGCTATGCTCACGTTGTTATTGACCATTGTATATGTAAAATTTAAATGTTTCCGTAAATATTTATCATGTGATCGAAAATAAAACTAATTTGAATTGGCGTTGCTTGTAGGTGGTATTAATGCCCTCAATTTGACTTAAGTCACTTTTTGTTACTAGGTGTTGAGAAAATACGAATACATGGATACTGACGCACGTGTTTAATTTTTGACGCTGACAGATGACAGATCTGTCAGTTGATCGAATGATGTGATATGTCATTTTGTGCAGTAGTACCACCCACACAAATAATGTCACAACCAACTCTAATTCAATTTATTGTCAATCCTAGTTCTTTCGATGGTATTTTGTGGCACATATTCGATTAAGCTCATATAAAAACAATGAAAATTCCTGGTGCTAGGACAGCCTGCTACTAAACATGACTTTTTGGAGCTAAAATAACACTAGAATCAGTCCTTCCCTTGATTATTATAAAAAAAAAAGAAAACATAAAGTAGTATAATACTTAGTACATTTCGAGGCCAAACTTTGAATTGAGAAAATTATATATGATTACCTCGGCGCACCCACCATTTTTATGTAAAAATATAAAACTGCTCTAGTCGGTCCGAAAACGGGGAAATCTTTATCTATCTCACATCAGGTCTAGGGTTATACATATTTAAACATTAAATTTTTGTTTCTGTCGTGATGATAACTATTACAATAGAAATAATTTCAACGTTGTTTAATTTTATTTCAAATAGCACACATTATAGCCGTTTTGTAACAAAACTATAGCAGGGTTATATACCGCAGTTGTATTGTTGTTATGTGTTATGTTTGTTACGTAAAAAAAATTATAACAAAGTTAGCATGAGGTTACAAACAATTTTGTAGGTATCACAATTATAACTATAACATCAGTGCAACGATGTTTCTTCGAAAATTTTGACCATTTTTCTATGACGGTCCAGTTGGCAATTTTTAGGATTTAAAAAAATATATTAATTTCGAACACAATATTTCTAAATTTTTGCTCCGGCACAATTATATTTTTTAAAATTGGTACGTTGAAATTCATATCTGCGAATTTTTTTGTAGATTTTTAGACTTTTTGAAAAACTTTTTGAAATTTTGATCGGTTTGGAAATCTTGTGAAAGACATTTTCTTGTAGACTTCGAACTTAGAAATTATTTTCGGCCTCATTTCTTCGATAACTCGTACCATTTTTCCAGAATCGCCAATTTAAATGTGGCAATTTTTAGGATTTTTTTGAAAGAATTAAATTTCATACCGAATATTTCTGAAGTCTCGTTTCGAGATCATAAACACGATATGTTTTTCCAATTGGCATGTCGAGATTTATATTTCAGAATTTTTTGGTATTTTTTAAGGAATGTTTTCAAAAACTCAATTTTTGAAATTTTCGACTGTTTATCGACCATTTTCGGAATTTGGCTAAAGACATTTTTTTGTAGATTCCAACCTTGAGAAGTCATTTTCGGGTGGGTACATTTCTTCGATAATTCCTACCACTTTCCGGAATCGTCAATTGAAATGTGGCAATTTTTAGTATTTTTTGAAAGAATTAAATTTCAAACCGGATATTTATAGCACAGGGATTTAGAAAAGCTCAATTTTTCAATACTCTCCGTTTTTTAAATTTTCGACCATTTTCTAAATTTAGTCAAAGATATTTTCTTGTAGATTTCTCCGTCTATAAGTTATTTTCCGCCTCAATTCCTCGATAACTGCTAGCATTTTTCCAGAATCACCAAATGAAATGTATCAATTTTTACGATTAAAAAAAATATATACAATTTCAAACCGTATATTTCTAAATCTCGTTTCGGAACAATAAACTATATCTTTGGAATCAGCAAGTTGAACATTTTTCGAGAATTTTTAGGCAAGTTTTTCAAAAGTTCAATTTCTTAATACTCCCAATTTTTGAAAATTTCGACTGTTTTCGACCATTTTCGAAATTTATTCAGACATTTTCTTGTGGATTTCTACATTTTCAGGTTATTTTTGGCCTCATTTCTTCGATAACTCCTACCATTTTTCCAAAATCGCCAACTGAAATGTGAAATTTTTTAAGATTTTTTGAAAAAATTAAATTTCAAACCAGATGTTACTGAAACCTCGTTTGGTGATCATAAACACCATATATTTCCAATCGGCACTTCGAGATCTATATCTCAGAATTTTTTGAGATTTTTTAGCAACGCTTTCAAAAACCCAGTTTTTCAATACTTTAAATAATTTTTTAATTTTTGAATGTTTTTCGACCCTTTTCGAAATTTTATCAAAGACATCTTCTTGTAGATTTCGACCTCTAGAAGCTACTTACCGCCTCAATTTCTCGATAACTTGTACCATGTGTCAATTTTAAAGATTTTTTTAAGAAAATTCAATTTCGAAGGGGTTATTTTTAAAATCATGTTTCGAGACTAGAAACACGCTATATTTTTCGAATCAGCACGTCGAGATCTATATTCAAGAATTTTTTTGGCAATTTTTAGGAAACTTGCAAAAGCTCAATTTTTCAGTAATCCCCATTTTTGAAATTTTCCACCCTTTTAGGACCATTTTCGAAATTTAGTTAAAGACAATTTCTTGTAGATTTGATCTTTGGAAATTATTTTCCGCCTCATATTTTCGATAACTCCAAACTTGAAATCTTTGAAGACTTTTTAAGAAAATTCAATTTCAAACTGGTTATTTTTAAAATCTTGCTCGGAGACCATAAACATGCTATATTTTTCGAATCAGCACGTCGAGATCTATATTCAGTAATTTTTTGGGAATTTTTAGGCAACATTTTCAAAACTCAATTTTTCAGTACAAAAAATGAAATTTTCGACTGTTTTTAGATCATTTTCGAAATTTAGTTAAAAACATTTTCTTGTAAATTTCGACCTTTAGAAATTATTTTCGGCCTCATTTCTTCGATAAGTCCTACCATTTTTCCAGAATCGTCAATTGAAATGTGGCAATTTTTAGAATTTTTTTGAAAAAATTAAATTTCAAACCGGGTATTTCTAAAATCTCGTTTCGGTATCATAAACACGTAATAATTTTCCAATTGGCTTGTCGAGATCTATACCTCAGAACTTTTTAGGATTTTTAAGTAACCTTTTCAAAAAGTCAATTTTTTTAAATACATTACTTTGAAATTTCAACTGTTTTTCGACCATTTTCGAAATATAGCCAAATATATTTTCTTGTAGATTTCAATTTTAGAAGTTTCTTTTGGCCCCATTTCTTCGATAACTCCCACCATTTTTTCAAAATTACCAATTGAAATATGGTAATTTTTAGAATTTTTTGAAAAAAATACATTTCCAACCGGATATTTCTAAAATCTCGTTCCGGGATCATAAACACAATACACAATCACCACGCCGAGATCTGTCTCAGAATTTTTAGGCAACGTTTTTAAGAACTCGACATTTTCTAAAATTTGTTAAAGACATTTTCTTGTCTTACCTCTAGAAGTAAGTTCACGTCAATTTCCCGAGAACTCCTACCATTTTTCCGCTAGTTACAACGTGACCAATTTTAAGATTTTTTATGAAAATTCAATTTCAAATTGGATATTTTTAAAGTCCTGCTCCGAGACCACATATTTTTCGGATCAGCACGTCGAGATCTATGTTTCAGAATTTTTTAGGAATTTTTAGACAATTTTTTCACCAACTCAATTTTTTAATGTACTCCCACACATTTTTTGAAATTTTTGACCCTTTTTCGACTATTTTTGAAATATAGTTAACATTTTTTTGTAGATTTCGACCTCTAGAAATTACTTTCCGGATCATTTCTTCGACAACTCCTACGTTTTTTCCAAAAACGCCAATAGACAATTATTTAGTTCTTTTTTTTAATTTAACTTCAAACAGGTTTTTTCTAAAATCTTACTCCAGGATCATAAATACTCTTATGTTTTTCGAATCAGCATGTGTAGATTTATATCCCAAAATTTTTGAGGAATTTTTAGCTAACTTTTTCAAAAGCTCAATTATTTAATTTTAATTTTTTAAATTTTCGACTGTTTTTCAATCAGTTTCAAAATTTAGTTAAATATATTTTCCTGTAAATTTAGATCCTTACAAGTTATTTTCGCCTTCATTTCTTCTAGAGTTCCTACCATTTTTCCAGAATTGCCAATTGAAATGTGTCAATTTTTAAGATTTATTAAGAAAATTCAGTTTCAAACTGAGTATTTCTAAGATCTTGTTCCGAGACCATAAACACGCTATATTTTTTCAATCAGCACAGAGAAACCTATATGTGAGAATTTTTTGGGAATTATTAGGCAACTTTTTCAAAAGCTGAATTTTTCAATACTCCCTCCCCATTTTTGAAATTTTCTACACTTTTTTGACCATTTTCGAAATTTAGTCAAAAACATTTTCTTGTAGATTTCGCCTTTAGAACTTATTTTTAGCCTCATTCTTCGATAACTGCTAACATTTTTTTAGACTCGCCAAATGAAATGTGACAATTTTTAGGATTATTTGAAAAAAATCAATCTCAAGCCGGATATTTCTAAATCTCGTTCTGGGACCATAAAGACACCCTATTTTTCGAATTAGCACGTCGAGATTTATATTCAAGAATTTTTTGGGAATTTTTTGGCAACTTTTTCAAAAGCTCAATTTTTCAATAATCCTCCTTTTTGAATTTTTCGAATGTTTTCTACCATTTTTGGGAACTTTAGCAAAGCCATTTTCTTGTAAATTTTGACCTCTAGACGCTACTTTCCACTTCAATTCTTCGATAACTCGTGTCATTTTTCCAGTATCGCCAATAAAATGAATTCAATCGAATTTTCCTAAAGTTTTGCTCTGGGACCATAAACAGGCTGTATTTTTCGAATCAGCACATCGAGGTCTATATCTCAGAATTTTTTAGGATTTTTTTAAGCAACCTTTTCAAAAACTCAATTTTTCAATACTCCTCCTTTTGAAATTTTTGAATGTTTTTCGACCATTTTCGAAATTTAGCCAAAGACATTTTCTTGCACATTTCGACTTTTCCAAGTTATTTTTGGTCTCATTTCTTTGAAAACTTCTACCATTTTTCTAGAATCGCCGATTGAAATGTGGCAATTTTTCGCATTTTTCAATTTCAATTTCCAAGCGGATATTTTTGAATCTCGTTCCTCAACCATAAAGGTGCTATATTCTTCGAATCAGCACGTCGAGATCTCTATTTAAGAATGTTTTGAGAATTTCTTGACAACTTTTTCAAAAGCTCAATTTTTTGAATAATCTTTTTTGAATTTTTTTGACTATTTTTCAACCATTTTTGGAAAAATTATCAAAGACGTTTTCTTATAAATTTCCACCACTAGAAGCTACTTTCCGCTTCAATTCTCCAATGACTCGTATCATTTTTTCAGAATCGCCAACTGAAATGTGACAATTTTTAAGATTTTTTGAGAAATTTCGATTTCTGTGCGGGTATTACTAACGTCGAGATCTATATTCCAGAATTTTTTGTGAATTTTTAAGCAATTTTTTCAAAATCTCAATTTTTCATTTTCTTGCATTTTGAAATTTTCGACTCTTTTTCGACCATTTTCTAAATTTAGTCAACGACATTTTCTTGTAGATTTCGACTTGTAGAACTTATTTTTGGCCTTATATCTTCCATTTCTTTCTAACATTTTCCCAGAATCACCAATTGAAATTTGGCAATTTTTAGGATATTTTGAAAAAATTCAGTTTTCTAAATCTTGTTTCGTGACAATAAACACGCTATATTTTTTGAATAAAAATTTTTTGGGAATTTTTAGGCAACTTTCTCAAAAGCTCAGTTTTTCTATACTCCCACTTTTTAAATTTGAAACTGTTTTTCTACCATTTTCGAAATTTCGTCAAAGACATTTTCTTGTAGATTTAGTCCTATAGAAGTTACTTTCCGCCTCAATTCCTCAATAACCCCTATCATTTTTCCAGAATTGCCAATTGAAATGTGACAATTTTTAAGATTTGTTTAAGAAAATTCAATTTCAAACTGGTTATTTTTAAAATCTTTCTCCGGAGCCATAAACACACTGTATTTTTCGAATCAGCACGAGATCAATATCCCAGAACTTTTTAGGAATTTTTAGGTAACTTTGTCAAAAGCTCAGTTTTTCAATACTCCCCAATATTTTGTAAATTTTCGACTGTTTTTCGACAGTTTTTGAAATTTAACTAAATACATTTGTAGATTTCGACATTTAGAAGTTTACTTTGCGCCTTATTTCTTCGATAACTCCTATTACTTTTCCAGGATCGTCGAATGAAATGTCACAATTTCAAAAATTTTTTAAGAAAATTCAATTTCATAAATACTCTAAATTTTTCGAATCAGAACATCTAGATTTATATCTCAGAACTTTTTAGTCATTTTTGGACAACTTTATCAAAAGCTCAATTATTCAACATTCTCCCCTTTTGAAATTTTCGACCTTTTTTCGACTATTTTCGAAATTTGGTTAAAGACATTTTCTTGTAGAGTTCTACCACTATAAGGTATTTTCCGTCTCATTTCTTTGATAATTCAAACTATTTTTCCAGAATCGCCAACTGAACTCAATTTCAGACCGGATTTTTCTTAAAATTTACTCTGGAGCCAAAAAACACGCTGTATTTTTTGAATCAGCACGTTGAGGTCTATAGGTATACCAGAATTTTTTGGAAATTTTTGGCACTTTTTTCAAAAGCTCAATTATTATTCAATTGAAAATTTCGATTGTTTTTCGACCATTTTAAAAATTTAGTTAAAGACATTTTCTTGCAAATTTAGATCTTGAGAAGTTTTTTTCGGGCTCATTTCTTCCATAACTACTACCATTTTTGCAGAATTGCCAATTAAAATGTGACAATTTTTAAGATTAAACTAGATATTTCTAAAATTTTGCTTTGGGACCATAAACATTATATTTTTATAATCACTATGTCGAAACCTATGTGTAAGAATTTTTTGTAGATTTTTAGAATTTTTCTAAAAGCCCCGTTTTTCTCGTTATGAAAATTTCAACCTTTTTTGACAGATGCAAAAATTATATTTTTCTGTATATTTCGAACTTCAGATTTTATTTTCGGCTTCATTTCTTCGAAAACTTACCATTTTTGTACATTTTGATCTCCAGAAGTTATTTTCGGTTTCATTTCTTTGAAAACTGCTACCACTTTTTCACAATCATGAGGATTGAAAGATTTTCAAACCCACTATTTCCAAATTATTGTCAAAATTTATATATGTGATTTTTTGTGGTCTGAATTGATCTGACGTGACCTGAGCTGAGCTGACCTGACCTGACCATATAATTATAATAACAAAAATATAACAAAACTCTGTCATGACGACTGTTACTGCTATATAATTATAACCAGTAAGAAAAACTTTTCAATGTTCTTTATAGAAGCTCCGAAAACTACTTCCTATTCAAAAGCTGTTATTAGTTATATACAATTCCTTAACACACACATAAAAAAATCAGTGCGCTATTTTTACACGATCACATCGAAGGAATCCCTCCTAATCAAATCGCCCAACTCTTTATCAAACCAATTAGACCATCACCCAGGTCCCAAAATTAGCATAACCCGTCGTCGCCCGACAAAACCCATCGCGCTAATTGTCGTGATTGACGCATTCGAGTTAGCACCGTGTCTTGTGCTGCGTGGGGGCGGAGCCCGGCAGCGGCAGCAGCGGCGGCAGTGGGCGCAGGTGCCCCCAAGAAAGTTGGTGGTCGCAGGAAGGCGCAATCTGCAGTGGTTCGCACGGTCTCGTCGAGTTCGCACGCCATCGCCACCAGGAAGAGAAGAGCGCACCAGCAGCACGCATTTCCACGCGGTCGAGCATGCCACCTGACACCAGGCCACCACTTTAAAGGTAACATAATCGTATCATAGCCACCCTAATGATTCCCAAAAGCCGCCGGAATTAGATAATATGCGTCGGCAAGTGAAGGCTTTGTTGCACAGAGGGCTAACTTTGAGATAGCATCGGGCCTCTGTGACTTGGGCTTGAGATGTATCTGGACTGCGGAGGAGGGTTGGGGATTTTTTGTTTTTTTTTTAGAGGAGAGTTCAGAGCGTGGTGGTGTAGGCGATGTAGAGTTAATTGGGTTGGTGTTTGCTCAAGGGTGGAGAACTATGCAAACATATTTTTTAATTGAATTTTGGAACAAGCGATTGATGGGTTTTAAAAATTTCGTGCTAGTACGTTTTTAATATTTAATTTGAGATTTGTTTTTGAATTTAAATCAGAAAATTTGAAATAAGTTGCCAACCTGACAAAATAAATCACAAACATTAATATTTACTTGGTATACAGTAATATTTTTCTGAAATTGGTCAAAATTTTGTAATATTTGAAAAAATGCATTTTGGTTTAAAATGTGGACGTATCTTTCGAGATTTTAAACCTAGTTTAGAAAAAAGCGGATCCGAATCCTCAAAAATTGATAATCTGTACAACACTAGATCAAAATTAATTCGCTCATTGACGTGTTTAATTACAGTTAGAACGAGACATTTTGCAGGATACGGAGATTTGTTATTTGCTTATGTATTTGTGTTTCTGATTAAACGATAACATCACTAAAACACTGAAATCTATTTTCAGATATTGTTAACATAATGCATAAGTTCATAATCAATTGTAAAATAAAATATTGATTTTAAGCCAATTTTAGTAGTTCCTTCATTGATGTTTCATATTAATGCAGTTTGATGTGCGTAAGACGTCAAAAAGAATTAATTTGTTGTCAATAGTTTGAACTTGATAAAAATGACGTCATCTCAAAATTTTATTATGGGTTTTTTTAGCTTTTAAAAATTCACTTCTGTTTTTAACTTTAAAATAGCAACCTGATTTTTGGAATCTCACAAATTAATTTTGAAAAACCTGGACATAGATCTAAAAAATTCAGAATCCTGAAAAAAAAAAACAACGTACTTAAGGTTTTAGACTGTATTTCAGGAACAGTTTTGGGTAGTTTTAGTTAAGTTTTTTAGTTAAAGTTTCTTCAAATTCTATAAAAAAGATACTTGGAAACTTCAAAATATGTTCCAATTTTCAAAAAAAAAATACAAAGGCTTCTTATAAATTCTTAAACAAAAAGGGGAACCCAAGATTCATTCAGACTCAAAAAAACGACACAGAAACTCCAAATTGTTCCAATTTCTATCAAAAACAAAATTAAAAATTCGTGTAAATTCTTTAACAAAAATATATTATGGACTCCCAAGATTCTTTTAAAATTTTAGATAAAAACGCACAAGGGGAACGCCAGATTCTTTCAAATTCTATAAAAACGACACTTGGAAACACCATTTCTTTCAAAAACAAAATACCAAGGTTTCAGAATTATAAATTCTTAAACAAAAACATATTAGGGCCCTCAAGATTCTTTAAAATCTTAGCCAGAAACACACAAACGGATATCGAGATTATTTCAAATTCTATAAAAACGAGACTTCGAAAAAATACAAATTGTTCAAATTTCATTCAAAATCAAAATACGAAGGCTTCAGAATTCTTATAAATTTTTAAACATCAAGGGCTTGAGATTGTTTTAAAATATTAGCCATACACACGCAAAGATACTCCGAATTCTATAAAAAAGACACTTGGAAACCCCAAATTGTTCCAATTCTCATTAAAAATAATACACCAAGCCTTTCGAATACTTATAAATTGTTAAATAAAAAAAGGCTTTCAAGATTATTTTAAAATCTTAAACAAAAACACACAAGGCGATTCCAAGATTCTTTCAAATTCTATAAAAATAACATTTAGAAACCCCTAATTGCTCTAATTTCAGTCTAAAACAAAATACCACGGCTTCAGAATACTTATAAAATCTTAAACAAGGGCTTCCGAGATTCTTTTAAAATCTTAAACAAAAGCTATACTTGAGAGTTCCTAAATTGTTCTAGTTTTCATCAAAAACAAAACACCAAGGATTCCAAATTATAATAAATTCTAACACAAAAACACAAATCCAAAGATTCTTTCAAATTCTATAAAAACGACATTTAGAAACCCCAAATTGTTCCATTTTCAATCAAAAACAAAATATCAAGGCGTCAGAATTCTTAATTCTTGAACAAAAACAGATCAAGGGCTTCCGAGGTTCTTTTAAAATCTTAAACAAAAACACACAAGGAGACCACAAGATTCTTTCAAATTCTGTAAGAACGACTCTTGGGAACCCCAAAATTTTTCCAATTTTCATTAAAAATAAAACACCAAGGAGCCCCAATTCTTATAAATTCTTAAACAGGAGCTCTCAAGATTCTTTTAAAATCGTAAAAAAAAAACGCACAAGAAAACCACAAGATGCTTTCAGTTTCTATAAAAACGACATTTAGAAACCCCAGATTGTTCTAATCTCAATCAAAATCAAAATACGAAGGCTTCAGAATTCTTATAAATTCTAAAACAAAAACACACCAATGGCTGTTGAGATTCTTTTAAAATGTTAGATAAAACCACACAAGGGAATCCAAAGATTTTTTCAAATTCTATAAAAACGATACTTGGAAACGCCCAAATTGTTCCAATTTTAATCAAAAACAAAATACCAAGGCTTCCGAATTGTAATAAATTCTTAAAAGAAAACACATCAAGGCCCTCCGAGAATCTTTTAAAATCTTAAACAAAAACACACAAGGAGAAAACAAGATTCTTTCAAATTCTGTAAGAACGACTCTTGGGAACCCCAAAATTATTCCCATTTTCATTCAAAATAAAACACCGAGGATCCCCAATTCTTATAAATTCTTAAACAGGAACACATCAGGAGCTCGCGATTCTTTTAAAATCGTAGAAAAAAAAAACAACGCACAAGAAGACCGCAAGATTCTTTCAATTTCTATAAAAACGACATTTAGAAACCCCAAACTGTTCCAATCTCAATCAAGAACAAAATACCAAGGCTTCAGAATTCTTATAAATTCTAAAACAAAAACACATCAATGGTTGTCGAGATTCTTTTAAAATTTTAGATAAAACCATACAAGGGAATCCAAAGATTCTTTCAAATTCTATAAAAATGATACTTGGAAACGCCCAAATTGTTCCAATTTCAATCAAAAACAAAATACCAAGGTTTCAGAATTCTTATGAATTCTTAAACAAAAACACATTAAGGGCCCGCGAAATTCTTTTAAAATCCCAAACAAAAACACATAAGGGGATCTCAAGATTCTTTCAAATTCCATAAAAACAACATTTAAAACCCCAGATTGTTCCAATTTTAAACAAAAACAAAATACCAAGGCTTCTGAATTCTTATAAATTCTTAAACAACAACAGATCAATGGCTTTCCAGATTCTTTTAAAATTTTAAACAAAAACACAGAAGGGAACCAAAACATTTTTTCTAATTCTATAAAAACAACACTTGGGAACCCCAAAATTCTTCCAATTTCCATAAAAAATAAAACACCAAAGCCTCCGAATTGTAATAAATTCTAAGACAAAAACACATCAATGGCCCTCGAGATTCTTTCAAAATCTTAGACAAAAACTCACAAGGGGACCACAGGATTCTTTCAAATTCAATAAAAACAACATTTAGAAAGCCCAAATTGTTCCAATTTCAATCAAAAACAAAATACCAAGGATTTCGAATTCTTATAAATTCTTAAACAAAAACACATCAAGTGCCTCCGAGATTCTTTTAAAATATTAAATAAAATCACACAAGGAAATCCCAAGATTCTTTCAAATTCTATAAAAACGACACTTGGGAACCCCAAAATTCTTCCAATTTTCATCAAAAACAAAACACCGAGGGATCCGAATTCTTATAAATTCTTAAACAGAAACATATCAGGAGCCCTTGAGATTCTTTTAAAATCGTAGACAAAAACACACAATGGAATCCCAACATTCTTTTAAATTATATGAAAACAGCAGTTAATAACCCCAAAATTGTCCCAGTTTTCATCAAAAACAAAATACCAAAGCTTCCGAATTCTTAGAAATTCTTAAATAAAAACATACCAAAGGGACCCGAGATTCTTTTAAAGTCTTAGACAAAAACACACAAGGAAACCCTAAGATTCTTTCAAATTCTATGAAAACAACAGTTAATATCCCCAAAATTGTTCCAGTTTTCATCAAAAACAAAATACCAAGGCTTCTAAATTCTTATAAATTCTTAAATAAAAACACATCAGAGGTCCCCGACATTCTTTTAAAATCATAGCTAAAACACACAAGGGGATTTCAAAATTCTTTCAAATTCTACAAAAAAGACACTTGGAAACCCCAAAATTGTTGCCGTCTTCATCAAAAACAAAATACCAAGGCTTCCGAATTCTTATAAATTCTTAAACAAAAATATATCAGAGAGATGCTCGAGATTCTTTTAAAATCTTAGACAAAAACATACAAAGTGACCACAAGATTCTTTCAAATTCTATAAAAAGACAGTTGGAAACCCAAATTATTCCAATTTTCATCAAGAACAAAACACCAAGCTTCTAAATTCTTATAATTTCTTAAAAAAACACATCAAGCAGTCCCGAGATTTTTTTAAAATCATAAAGAAAAACATACAAAGGAATCCGAAGATTCTTTCAAATTTTGTAAAAACGACACTTGAGAATCCCAAAATTGTTCGATTTTCATCAAAAACAAATCACCAAGGCTTCCGAATTCTTATAAATCCTTAAACAAAAACCCATTTGGTGCCGCGAGATTCTTTTAAAATTTTAGACAAAAACACACAAGGAAATACCAAGATTCTTTCAAATCTTATAAAAACGACACTTGGGAATTTCAAAATTGTTCCAATTTTGATAAAAAACAAAACACTAAGACTTCCGAAATCTTATAAATTCTTGAACAAAAACCCATTAGAGAACTCTGAGATT